TAGAAAGAGACAATACTTTTCAGTTCTAAAGCAAGACAAGTTAAATAAGGATGATTTTGTGTCTTGTCTTAAAGCATTAGACTTGATTAAGACAATACCTACAACAGGTGCATTTGTTTTTTCTTCATCACTGGTACCATTCAACATGTACAGCTACTCACCAACACAATTTGCCTTAAATACTTATGGTTGGGTCCTTCCACCCCCCCCCCTTTGGGATATATTAGAATTTTATTCTAATTCAGTGTATTGGAATTCTTGTTGTTGATGATCATCCCTTGAAAGAATCTGGAATCTGTATTCCTTGCCACAAAAATAGCTTAAAGTACATTGGTTTCTTGTCTCGTTCTTTTAAAATCACTTGCATTAAGGTTTAATCAGTCAGTTCAGTTTTTTCCATCTCTTGATAAGGTATACATCTTCATTTTTAAAATATGATATTCTTATGTTACTCAACTAATGCAGAATCTTTGTTTAAAAGGCAAGTGCATTTCTCACAGGTCCAGGGAGAAGCTCATCCATTTCACAGTGAAATATGAGCAGTGGGCAGTTGTCCATGAGTTGAAATCACTTTTGCTGATCACCAAAATGACTTACCATCTTAAAGGAAAAGTGATCAAAATAGCAGACATAGTAGATGGCATCTAATTCTGAGCATGATTTGGCTCCAGTAGAGTGTAAAGGAGAATCCCATCTCCCTCTGAGGTTGTCAATGTATTTGTCTCATGCTAGAAGTACATTATTCAGGAATTGTCAGTGGGGCAAACACTGCTTTTCATTCACTTTGACCCCAAAGCACACATACTTTGAGTGTGCAGAAAGAAGCAAAGCCAAGCCTCCATCTCTGAAGCCAGTTGTTCATCTGTCAGCAAGGTTTCCAGCCTGCTCTTCCTCTGCCCAGAACCAGAGCACTTATGTCAGACACATCTGTGTTTACTGCCCACAGTTTAAGTCTCTTGGAAACATTTTAGAAATTAGGTGAGCTACTTGTAATGAGATACCCCAAACTGTAAAGTTGTTTGTCATGTTAGTTTGATTTAAGAACCTGACAGTACTGCTTTACACCAAAGAAATTTATATTCCTAGGGTAGGATAGCAATGATGTGAATAAATTTCCTTATTTTATTTTATTTTTTTAAAGAAACAGAACTCCAGAGATTCAGTGATTTTTCAAGGGACAGATCTTGTTAATGAATAATTTGGGATTGACTTTGGAGTCCATATATGTTTCTGCCACAACATGAAGGAAATTTGTATCCAATTGCAGAGTCAGTATCATTAAAAGTTAACACATTCTGCATGATGCATGCTGGTAGTTCCTGACCTTTCCAAAACAGTGTGATTCCAAGTCAACCAATGCCTTTAAGTTGAGTGGGGCTTTAGACTATTAGACAGAAATCCTAAACCTCGTGTCATAGACTTGCTGTTACGGGTTGAGCATCTATAATCAGGAAATCCAAAATGTTCCAAAATCCAAAACTTTTTGAGCACTGAAACAATGCTATAAAGGGAAAATTCCACGCCTGACCTCTTAAGATGTTCTCAGTCGATATACAGGTACATTAGAAAGAGCGTTAAAAAATTACCTTCAGGTTTTGTGTGTAAGCTATGTGTGAAACCTAAATGAACTTCATGTTGAGACTTGGGCTCCATACCCAAAAAACCTCATTTTATATACATACAAATGTTCCAAAATCAAAACAAAGAAAGAAAGAAAAGAAAACCTTAATTTGAAACACCTCTAGGCCTAAGTGTTTCAGATAAGAGATGATCAACTGATTTTTTTTTTAATGGCTGTTATGACTTGGGAACTACATGGATACTGTTGGTGACACTGAATTTCACAGGGGGTTGGCTCTGCTGCCCCTCCCTCTGCTTGTCCACACTGACCACTCCTGACATACCCAGCCCCAGCTAGTGTCTCTCTTGGTTGGTTAGTTACAGAGGCTCTTCAGAAAGAAGCTAACCTTGAAACAAAAATGAAAGGACCTCTGAGCCAGGAGAAAAGGAATTCTGACCATTGATCTTTTCTTTGTGGATTTAAAACTTATTTTGATGGTTTTGTTTTTATGCAGAAAATATATCAAAGCCATCCTGACTTTAGGCCATGATTTGGGACTTTTTCCCTATAAACAAAAGTGCAGCTCTAATAGGATGTTTTTTTTTTTTTTAATTTTGGAGTGTTGTGAGTAAGAGGGTAATTCAGTCAACAAAGGATTTTCTGTTACTTTCTCTCTCTAAAAGAACATGCTGAGAATGAAAGGGGGTAAGGGGGTCTGAACTTCACTCAGCAGAACTCAATCATGGAGACAGAGTAACTACAAACAGATTGTTGGTGAAAGACTGATAGTCTAAATTCATCATGCGTCAGTAGATACAAATGGCTGACATAGTGTTTTTATAGGTTTTGCTGTGGGATAGAAATGAAGAGGAAGAAGATTTAAGCTTGAGGAGAGAAGGAAAAGGCAATAAAATATTAACAAATGTTTCTAGGGATGGGAATGTTTCAAAAAATGGAAAACTAGAAGAGTAGAAACCAGAGTACCACAAGATAATCTTTTTAAAACCATAACTAAGCCTCACTCAAGTTCATAAAAACATCTTAGTTCTTTTAAATATTTATTCTTTATTGAAAATATGGTTTTTAGCAGGTGTTCTTATGAAAACAATTGTTGCTTCATCAAGTCCTTATGAATTTCCAGATGGAAGTCATAAGAACATTTTTTTGTAGAGATGTTTGCCTTTATAAAAAAGAGCCCATTTTCTTTTTTCTTTTCTCTTTTGTATGTACACATACAAAATATCCATTTCATATACTTGTTCATTAGAGCTTCATATTACTTAGTGAAGATTGGATTGCCATCTGACCTTCCTTTCTTTCATAGGATGATACCAGAGAGACATAAGCAGATGGGTTGGACAAGGTATCTAAACCCTAGATACCTGGATGGATGTTATCTGATTGTTTCTGGTATTTTGTATAGGTATTAAGATCAGAACATTTAAGGTCAGAATTATTTTGGGAAATATAGGGCAAATGGTCACCTTGGATATGAGTTTTAGACTTGTCTACAGATTTCCATCTCCTCCCTCTGTATTTAGCTACTTCCTACAATGTGGGATCTGTCAGTCTGCTCAGCAGTGGGCTGCATATTTACCTCTCATTTGAAACTGGCTGTTAAAAAAACAAAGTAATACATGGTCCCTGTGTTCAGAGAGTTTCCTCAAGCTTATAAAATAATTATTGCTTATAAAATAATGAATATTATTTTTAGAACAAATGAGTCCAAATGCTCATGCTTAAATAGGAGTTTTCTTTCTTCGTAATTAATTTTGGAACATGGTAAGCTATTTTTTTATTCCTTACATCTCTGGCCATCTTCTACACTTCCCGACCCACCTTTTATTCATTTTTATGTTTATTAATATGGTTAATACTTTGACTACTTTTCTCTGTCAAATATTTCCAGAATGGGTCTGAATGAAACATTAGTCCTTTGTAGTTTCACACAGACAAGCTTGAAGTGTAAACTGAATGAAATTAATTTCAACTTGGAATAAAAGTGCACATCCTGTGTGTGTCTTAAGTAAGGGTAAAGGAAAGAATGAGAAATACAATGCTGCTAACCATCTTAGCTGTGTGAACTGGAAAAGAGCTGCTGTCCAAAACCAGTAGTGATCCAGTTTTTGGAGACCCTGTGATGTTCCCTTTTGTGACCACATGTGTGTGCCCACCTGTTTCTGTGTTCTTGATAGTATACTTTTGTCACTAGATGGTGCTCTTTCACTTTAAAATATTTTCTGTGGAGACGTTTGCTTTTTATGTTGCTTGTTTCTGATGGTGAAGAGACAGTGGATAATCAAATTCATCCTTACTGGACAGGAGGTTCCCTGTCCCTCTATAGGTGTATAGGAATTTTAATGTGATCATCCAACCTGTAGAGCAATAAGTTCATAGGTTAGCATAACATTCAGTATGTGTTGTCAGATTTTTGTGTGAGAAAAATCCATTCATATTCTGTAGAAGCATTTTGCCATATGTATTGGGCCAATACTTAGAGACTACAATTAAAATTCTTGTGTAGCTAATATCCTGTTATATATCCATTATTTAAGAATCACTTGGTACTTGGGAGGCAGAGATTGAGGGTATTGTAGTTCAAGGCCAGCCAGAGCAAAAAGCGAAACCCCACCTCAACAAATAAGTGGGATGTGATGGTACATGCCTGTATAATCCCAGCTACTCAGGAGGTATAGGTAGAAGGATCACAGTCTGAGGTCAGCTCCATGCAGAACCTTGAGGTCTATCTCCAAAATAACTAAAGCCAGAAAGGGTTGGGTGGGAGGGGAGGTGATTGTCTAGAAGTAGATTATCAGCCTAGCAGGCACAAGGCCTTGAATTCAAAACCCCGGTGCCCCAAAAGAGAGGGAGAATGGGTGTGAGTGTATGAGGATCACTTGGAAAGCTAATAAAATGTGTACTGTGGGTTGTCCAGGACCCTGTATTGTACCAGGAGCCTGAGTCTGATTGCAAGCATGTTTGAACACAGGGTTCTCATCACCCTGGTGGTAGTGAGCATTTTCAGTATAGACTAACCAAAGCTGATGCTAGCTGAGATTGAAACTTTGAATGTGGACAGCTCTTTATGTGAGTATTGCTTAGTGGTCGGGGTGGAGGGGGGGTTCCTAATGTACATCATAAGATTCATAGAAGTACAGTGAGGATGAGCTGGCGTCACAGAACAGGCCAACCTGGGCCTTGTTAGGATGCAGCAGGGAGCAGGCAGTGGGAGTAAGAGGCAGCTCTTACTTGGTGTTCTCTCCCAATATGTGGTGCTCAAGTGGACATCTCTTGTGCCCTGCTTTTAGGCCCCTCGACTTACAACACCTGATACGTAACATTTTAGAAAGTTTGACCAATCATCAGGCCTTTGATCTTCGCAGTGTCCCTGTGACAGGGCAAATGTCAGCAGAGGGATTATAAAATAGAATAAGGAGAAATGCCTGAGGCCAAGAGCAGCCACGCGGAGACACAGGGAGGGGGCAGCCTGGAGACGGTGGCGCTGACTCAAATTAAGCACAGCTGTTGGGATGTCTCCCCAAGGCCAGCGCATTCCTGAATGTTGAAGCTTCATGGGGCAAGGTTGTTCACTGTGATTTCACCATCCCTTCTTTTCTCCCCTGGCCTCCAGCCCTCTCTCCTCTGTTGCCCAGTTACACCTTGAGAATATGATGTGCTCAGCATTGCGTTGATTTTTACCTGGACTGTGGGATGGCATTGGGAAGTCACACCACAGGGGAAATATGTGTAGTTTGGAGAAAATATCCACTGAGTGGTTCTGGTTCCTTCTCTAAGAGAATCTATGCTTCAGAAGGGTGGAAGGACTCAGGCAGAACTGCGTGTTAGTTGGGAAAGGTGTTCAGTAAACATTTGCTGACTCTGTCACCATCCTGTACAGGACATAGAGGACTTAGCTGAGAAGTCAATACGTCATAGGCATCAAGAAGGTTGGGATTCTCAGTGATGTGACAGTCTTGATAAATCATCTCCATTACTCAGCTTTATCACTAGTTCTAATGGGTACAGAACTTCTTGCTGACCCCACGATGGTCTTGGTCTGTGCCAGGCTGATCTGCAAGATCAGTAACCCGTGGGTTGCTGGATGACTTAGAATCCTGTTGGGGAGAACTGAGGAGGCATGTCCTCCCAGGGCCTTTGGCTCTCAGGTCTTTCCTCACCTGGATCATTCCAGCTCTGTAACTGTGACTCCCCCTTAACTAAGGCCTTTACTCACACCTCCTCTCTCAATGAGTCCTGAGGTCCCTCCCCTTCCTATAGGTAGTAGATCCTGAACCTTTCCTTTTTTCAAAACATTATGTTTTTAATATATTAAATAATTTATTTGATTCATTTTTTGTCTCCCTACACAAGATCACAAGCTCTCTATTTAGCCAGGGGTCTCTGTCCACTGATAGATGCCCCATTCCCTGGAGCCAGTACCTGGTGCATAAAAGATACTCAGAAAATGTCAGTTGAGTGAATGAATGTGTTTCTATATAAAATTCAGCAGTAAATAATTGACAGCAAATATTAGTCTCTCAGTATGAATTCTGAATGAATATCAAATATTTCTGAAGGAAGTTTAAGACATTTTTTCCTGTTAACACTGACATCTTTTAAATTGTCACACAGCTTAAAATTTGGATTCAGAGTTGGAAGACATTGTATTATAATGACCAAACTATGGTTGTGCCTTAGTTTCTTCTTAAAAAAAAAAAAAGAAAAAAACCTCACAAAACTGTATGGATTAAATAAATTAATATATTTAAATCTTTGCAATAGAGTTTGGAATGTAGCAAGAGTTCAATTAATAAATCACATTTAGAGATGCCTCAGTTATTTAAAAATAATTATATTCTTGTTTTGCTTATTGCAAAAAATAAAAGGAAATAGCCAGTGTTCAGAAGGAAAAATGCCACAGACAAATGCACAATTTGACATTTTCCATATGGTTTGTTTTTATTATGATAACACACCTACAGTGAAGCAAATAACAAATTTATTATGGAATCTCTTTTCTTATAATGTCAATTAATCAATTAAATTATTTTGGTAGGACTGGGGTTTGAATTCAGGACTTCACACCTGCAAAGCAGGTGTTCTGCTGTAACATCAATTTTAAGACAGAGTTTGGGGAAGTTTGAGAATCTCTTATGAGCCTTTGTTTCTGACTCCTTATAGATCCACATATCAAGGTTTCTGGAAGGAAAGAAGATGTGAAGGAAGCCAAGGAAATGATCATGTCTGTCTTAGACACAAAAGTAAGTGAACTGAAGGACACTCAGATATCAGAATCTTGTCTCTGCAAGGGCTACTTCATGCTGTTATGAAAGAAGTATTTGGAAAAAGAGAAAGTAATGGTGGGTCTTAAAATATGCACATGTGATTCTACTGTAGATGTAAAGTTTTGTTTGGTATTTGAGTAGGTTCTATCATGGGAGGTGATTGGATGGTATTTACATACACAATCTATGTGTGTGGATATCTGGATATACATAACACGTATAAACCATCTTCAGAAATAGAAATTGGCCCTGGTTAGAATAGAGTAAGTAAGAAGGTTTTAGAAATTGATGCATTTGCCTTTATAGTACCAGTAGGAAACCCACAGTGTTCTCTACAGTCCTGTGATTAACGTGTGAGGCACGAAATCCAGTGAAAGCAGGTGTGTTCTCTCTATCACTGCAAGTTTGCACATAGCGATAACGCTTAAATAAGCAGAAGTTTATACCCGTTTGTAAGAATTCACTTTGTGTAGACGATCTGAACATTTATTATATGCCAGCTACTTTGCTAAGCACTCTACATTTTATAAATCATGGTTTATTTAATACTCACAACTAACTGAGCACAGAGATGTTAACTAACCAGAACTGGGAATTGATGAGGTGGTTCGAGTCCAGGCTAGCTGCTTCTTAACTATCTTTTTTTTTTGCCACTGGATATTTTCCTATATTTCAAAGATTAAAAAAAAAATCAAAATATTGAATGGATATAAATTGAAAATTGAAGATTTCAGGAGGTTTAAAATTACTGATGTTCTTAGCACTTTGAATTTTACTTGTTAAGGACTATAGAATTCCAGTGACAGTCTTGAAAATGAGAAAGGATTTCACGTTGGTCTTTATAGTTTTACACTAAATATTCCAAAATTAAATTTCAGGTTGGCCATGGTGCTTTTATTCTCCATGTCTTAGAATTTTACATTTTGTGTTACTGTAACTAACCTTCTACTGGTATTCATTTAATTAACCCATTTTGCTGCCCGAGGTCCATGCTTTGTGACTTCTTCCTACCAGAAAGAAGGGTCTGTTTAGTGATGTTTGACACACTGTAGCATAGATGTTTCCCCAGGAGGAGGTTTGAGAACACTTGTGAATGCTTCCTTATTCACAGTTTTCAGCTTTATTTTTATATCTACTTTTCTATCATTGGAATTCCTCAGTCCTCTAACATGCATGTCTTTGGTCTTGTAATTAATGTTTTCGTCTGTTCTTAGTTATTTGAATTAAGTGTTTCATGAATAATGTCTTTAAAAATGAGTTATTCATAAATGTAGTGGACTTTATTTAAAGACTACTTTCCAAAAACATGGTAAATACTGCATCTGTCTATTTTTTCTTACAAATTTTTCATAAAATGAGAATTTTTTTAATAACAAAGGTAGAAATTGAGCAAATTAGATTGAGAAATCTGTACCCCACCTGATCACTGTTTGTTAATCACAAAAAACATTGGGAACAAAGTATTTTTAGGGGGTTCTTTCTCTTTTCATTCTTCAAGAAATAACAACATCTTCTTGCAGAGCAATCGGGTCACGTTGAAGATGGATGTCTCACATACAGAGCACTCACATGTGATCGGCAAAGGTGGTAACAATATTAAAAAAGTGATGGAAGAAACAGGATGCCACATCCACTTTCCAGATTCCAACAGGAATAACCAAGCAGAAAAAAGCAACCAGGTGTTTCGTCTTTCCACATTTGCTTTCTGGAATGAATTTCAGCTTTAATTTTCAGTGCACCTATGTTTTTTGAGATGACAGCAAAAACTAATCATATAAGCATGCAGTGTAGGTTGTGTGACCCCCTGCAAGAAGACTGAAAGTGCTGAGCTATTATAAGGATGAGTTGTAGGTAGGGCCTAACCTCCAGATCTACAAATGGTTCACATAGAAAACAGGAGAGGATGTGATGATCACAAAGCAAAGCCACTAAGGAGAGGGTGAGAGAGCATGCCAGTCAGGAAAGGGCCTGGAAAGGGCCTTTCCATTGCCAGGATTCTGTCTACAGAGTCCAGAAGTGTCCCACAGGCCATGCTAGATCATTTCTGAGAGGTGGTGCATGAGTGTCCAACCTCCTCACACTGACTGATTTATTTCTCTCTCTCTCTCTCTTCTCTCTCTTTCCCCCAGTACTGTGGGTTGAACGCAGGGCCCTGTGTTTGCTAAGCACATACTCTGCCACTTTTTGCATTGGTTACTTTTGAGGTAGGGAGGGAGGGTCTTGCATTTATGCCCAGGCCAGCCTGGGCTGTGACCCTCCCATTTGTTCTTCCTTGTGTGGCTGGTAAGACAGGCATGCACCATCACACCCAGGAGTCTGGAGAACTGTTTTGCCCAGGCTGGCTTCAAACTGCAATCCTCCCAATCTTTGCCTCCCAAGTTGCTAGGATTACGTGCTTGAGCAGCTGTGCCCAGCCATCTCTCTCTAGTTTATAGCACACTTTTCTGTGGTTCTTCTCTTTGGATCTAACCTATCAGCATGCAAACACTTTGAACACTTGAAGAACAGATAATACTATTTATGTTACTTGGAAGAGTTCTTTCTTCTAAGCTAATCAGAATACTAAAAAGTCATGATAAAAAGCAAGAGTATTGTTCTTAACATGGAATGGCTGCTATGGCCTGGCCCACCCCAGTAACAGAGCAAGGTTGGTCCTTTGACATAACTCACCTGAGGATCTCATTAAAATGCACATTCTGTCTAAACAGGTCTGGGCTCACATGGGACCCCTTATTTTTAATGAGCTCCCAAATAATGCCCATGATATTTGTTCCAGAACCACACTTTAAGTAGCAAGGATGTAGATAACTAGAAAAAAACAGATGTGAGTTGTATTAAAATAAACCTAACTGTATTTTCTTACTTTTGCAGGTGTCTATAGCAGGACAACCAGCAGGTGTAGAATCTGCCCGAGTTAGAATTCGGGTAACTATATATTACTTTACTATTGTAAATCAGTATCAGCAACATTTCCACTGTAAGCAATTAAGATACTGTAATTTATCATTTGTTAACCAAGTCATATTTTTAGTAAGTAGGAAATAGTGACCAAAGTTGTATTTGTATACACCCTGGCATCCATTATCTAGATTTTTATTGTGGGTATTTCATTGTCAGCTTTTTAAAAATGAGATTCTGTGGTTTTTTAAAATAAATTTTTCTGTTAAAGACATTTCTCAGAAACATTTTGAATTTCATGTGACTCTTATTTCTTTGATGACTTTTAAGTGACAAAATAGAGGCTGTAGGAAGAATGTCACTAACAATATGAATTACAAACTATCAGGTTCCTTCCATTTAAAAAACTTTTTACAGTCTACCTAAGCTTACGTCTACTGTAAAAGCAATTTGTGTTTTAAAATCCATTTTCAGATAGGAACAAATCAACTATAGACATCTCTAAATGAACAGTGTTTAATTATCTGCTTTGGATTCTCATACTTTCATTTCAGGAGCTGCTTCCTTTGGTGCTGATGTTTGAGTTACCAATTGCTGGAATTCTTCAACCAGTTCCTGATCCTAATTCCCCCTCTATTCAGCACATATCACAAACGTACAACATTTCAGTATCATTTAAACAGCGTTCCCGAGTGTATGGTGCTACTGTCATAGTACGAGGGTCTCAGAATAACACTAGTGCTGTGAAGGTAAATGACTTCAATAATTCCAACATTCTCAGTGCACAAATTATTTTATTTTTAAAGAATATTGGGCTAATTTGTTTTCTGCAGTTTTCCTTTGTGTTACATTTGGGTTTATTGAATGTGCTGTGTTTTGCCATATCTGTTAGGAGCATAGAAGAATCTTTCCCCTTTAGGACAGTTACAGTTTTACAGGGTATTTTCCTCCCACCCTTCTCTGCTAGGAAGGAACTGCCATGCTGTTGGAACACCTTGCTGGGAGTGTGGCCTCAGCTATTCCTGTGAGCACGCAGCTAGACATTGCTGCTCAGCATCATCTCTTCATGATGGGTCGCAACGGGAGCAACATCAAACACATCATGCAGAGGACGGGTGCTCAGATCCACTTTCCCGACCCCAGTAACCCACAGAAGAAATCCACCGTCTACCTCCAGGGCACCATTGAGTCTGTCTGTCTTGCAAGGCAATATCTCATGGTACAGTTGCTGAAATTAGTGTTGTAATCTTTTATTTAACCTCTTTGGATACAGTGTGTATTGTGGTACTTACTGTACTAATATGATATTTAACGAAGCATTTTGGAAGCCTGGTTAAATAGGAAAGTTTCTTGGTATGAGGAAATAAACGGGAAGAGTAAGGTTGGTAGTCCTCAACAGGCTTTGTTTCATTGCATAGGTTAGACTACACATGGGAAAGTTTACAGTGAAATAATTGTATTTTGTGGATGGGTAGATGATTTTTTTCATCTGACATTTGGAACTACTATGCAGTTTGCACTGAACAAAAAATTCTTCCATTTAAATAGAAAAGTAAAAGTACTATTAAATTTCATCCTGAAATACTTATGATCAAAGTATGTTATAGGCATGTATGAAAGCATTACAGTGAAGCCCATGTGTACAATTAATATGTATAAGTAAAAAAGAAAATAAATTTCATTTTCAGCAGTAGAACTTCTGGCAGCCTGAAATGTTTGTACATTTCATAAATTTCTGATATAGTTTAAAAAATGCTACTTTGTCCATAAATTTGAGTGCTACTTGATGAAAATAACAATAGCATTATATGTTATAATTCAACATTGCTTTTCATTTATAATGTACAGTATTTCTCTCCTTCCCAAGTGTGTGGCTTGATATATAATAACAAAATAGACATAATGCTGGGCTTGCAAATATGTATTGAAGACACCACTATAGCTAGACATGGTGGCACATACCTATAATCCCAGCACTCAGGAGGCAGAAGTAAAGGATCTTGAGTTGAGACCAGCCTGGGTTACATAGCAAGAGCCAATTTCCAAAAGAAAAAAAGAAAGACACAACTGTACTTTCTTTTTCAGTGGTGACATTTGAATCAGTAAACATCAGGTGTGACCTTTGCTACTATTAACTTGAAGAATTTACTTCAACAAACTTTCAGAAAAATCTCAGTTTTATGTTGACTCCATTCCTGCCACAGATGAAAATTTGTTCTAATCACTAAGGATTATAATAGAATTTTAAGAAAATTGGTTTTTTGTGTGAATTTTCTTTTGTTGGCCACATTTATTTTATCAGATAGTTTTTAATATGCTACCAGTTAGGTAGCACATTCTTACCCAAAAAGTGTTACAGTTACTCTTTGTATTTTCTTCTTTTCATGTTTTTAAGTGTTATTTTAGGGACAGTGAACTTTTCAAGCATTCTGTGCAGTATGGATTCACCCTTGTAATTTGACTCAAATAGGTGTGTTGTGAGACATGTCATTGCACAGAGTTGAAAGAAGGGCGGGTACACTTACAGGCCTTACCTATATCTCAATCACGTTTTTGTACAGTACTGTCCTTAGAAAAGTTACTTTTATTCACAAGTGAAGTGGTGCATAGTATTTCATTTAATCCTAGTCTGTTTAGCATTAATTTCTCTTGCTATATTTGTACAAAATCAACCAACCAGCGGACTAGCATTGAGTAATACCCTGTGCATCAGAAAAAGTACATTATGTAGTTTCTGCACTCAGTAGATTAGGGACAAAGAATAAATCATCAGAGGAAAAAAAAAAGTCTAAACTCTGTAATGCTAAAAAGCGAGGTAGTTAAAGGAAAGAACAATAGTAACAATTTTCTCCAGGAAGAAGTTATGACTGCAGGTGCAGCACAGGTAAGTAGGACTCGATTGGTGACAAAGGTGGAAGGTGGGTTAAAAATTCCGGGCCAAAACCAGAAACTTGAGATTACAATTTTATTCTTCCCAAATAGTTTCCTCCCCCTCAGTATTGTTCCCACACCAGCCTTGCAAGATAAGTGAAGGTGTATATTTAGCTTGAATACTTTGTTTTGCTCCTTAAATCTGTGAAATATTGCATCATTTGTAGGCATACTCAGTTATCCAGTGTTGACATGATTAACTCCTCTACATTCTGTTGTGACATTTTCTAGGGCTGTCTTCCTCTTGTGTTGATGTTTGATATGAAGGAAGAAATTGAAGTAGATACACAATTCATTGCTCAGTTGATGGAACAGCTTGATGTCTTCATCAGTATTAAACCAAAGCCAAAACAGCCAAGCAAGGTTGGTTCAGAGTCTGGACCTAGAGAGTCATGTATCAGATCATGTTATATACAATTTAATTTTGCATATAAGTATATATTGCATTTACATGGAACTAATAACTCTAATATGCATATAATTATATATTTAGTTATATCAATATAAGTTTATAACAGTTCATTAATGATCATTTTTTTATATATTTGTTGGTTTGGAAATTCCATTTTTAGTAACCATTATTATTCTATAGATATATTTTTTTCCTTTGCAGTCTGGTAGCTTTAAGCTTTACTTAGTTACCAGAGGGTTCATAAAGCTACTTATGTGTTGTATGTGTATGTGTACATATGTAACACAATTCAAAAATATTTAGAGTACTTATCATATGCCAGTCACTGTGCTACCCCTAGGGATTTAAAGAATAGTTGACCATTCTTTTTAATAAAGGTTTTAAGTAATGAAAATATTCAGGCTTCTTGGAGCCTCTCCTCTAAAATTTTGCAAAATTCCAGTAATTAAATGCACAGTAAAATTTTAATGGGATGAATCTAATATTAAGTGCTAGTGAAATGTGAGGAAAGAGGAATGTTCCTACATTAATATTGGGAAAATTGGCATAGCCACTTTGAAGATCAGTCAGGACCATCTGGTCACACAGTGAATACTGGTTTCATGCTTGCAATCATTCTGTTTCTGTTAAAACATACTGCAGATACCTTTGCACCAGAAGTCAAACAGCAAGAATGATGCTGAGGGAAAAAAATAAAATTATACAATAACATATACGAAATAGTAGCATTTGCATGTATTTATTTTCTAAAGTGCAAAGCATTGTCTGGAGGGCTGCACACCAAATTCATGATGCATTATATTTTTACTAAAGGGAGGGAAAATGAAATTAGAAAATAATAAGGTAAACACTCCTTTTTTCAACAATAGTCAAAAACAAAATTAAGCTAAGTAAATAGATGCTATATTAACCTTGGTTTTCTACATTTTTCTCTTCAAAATAAAAGGATTTATAAAATGTTGATTGTGTTGCACTTACGGAAAATTTCAAAGAAAAAAATTTAAATTAATTCCTGAACCAAATCGAGTTCCCTAACTTACTATAGTAGATAAACAATTATGCCTTCCATTTTAAAATTTCTAAACTATAAACTTTGTCATGATGTAGAATGGTTTGTGTGTAATATGGATTGCATATAATTTTGTTTATGTGCAAGTAATGTGATAGTTACTGTCCAGGTGAAGAAAAACAATCATACCTTCTTCAAAAGAAAACTCTTGATTCTAAGTGAACTTGAAATAGTTTAAAGTTAGAGAACAGAACATTAATTTTTTTTATGATGAAACTTCATGCTTGACTAATCTGAGTTAACTAGGGTCATAGTAGGCACCAGGACTAAAATATATAGTCAAGGGCTTGTGCATGTAAAAGTGGACAGGCACAAGAGTTCCAGGAACTGTGTAAGAAATGAGCAGATGTCAGGGATATGTAGATTGTTAATGAAAATTCTGAAGCCTTGATCATCCCAGAGCAATTTAATTATGCCTAGCTGGCCTGGTTCTGACTACTGCTTTAACTGCCTTTTATCTATTTTTCCCCTTTTTGTGGTACTAGGGCTTGATCTCAGGGACTCATGCTTGCTAGGCAGGTGTCCTACAACTTGAGCCATTCCTCCAGCCCTTTTTCCTTTAGTTATTTTTCAGATAGGGTTTTGTGTTTCTACCTCAACCAGCCTTGGACTATGATCCTCCTCCCATATAGCTTGGACCACAGGCAGGTGTCACCACACCTGGCTTGTTTGTGGAGCTGGGATCTTGCTAACTTTTTGCCCAGGCTTGCCTTGAACTGCTATGCTCCTGATTTACATCTCCTGAATAGCTGGGATTACAGGCATGAGTCAACCCACCTAGCCCTTTAACTCCTTTCTTAGTCACAAATTTTCTTTACTGTCCATTGGAGCTTTCCTCTTTAGATTCACATTTCCATTTTTCCATATGAATCCACTGAGGAGGAAAAAGATTTATTATTTAGATCTTTTTTTCACCATAGCTTTGCTGTAGATATGCCATTGATGAGTAATAATGGCACCTCAAGGTCTGTTAGTTAACCAGTAGACCATAAATGCCAAATACAAAAGACTGTTATTGTGCAGTCTACATGATGACAGGTCTGATTTGGTTCGTAAAGCTGAGATGGGGGGAGCTTTGATGTAAAGCTGAGAGGCTGTGGAGAGAGACCAGTTCCCATCCGTAGCTGCCCCTTCACAACTGTGCTATGACCATGACTAAATCTCTTAGCTTCCTGAGTAGTAATAATAAGAGTTGGGTAGAAAATGGAGCATCCGCACAGCTTCCATCACAGTGCCTAAACCGCAGGACACATGCGATAAATGCTAACTAACATTTTACCGTTTTACTAGGAGTAAATGTAAGAAATAAGTGGCAGAATTTGCAGTTAATTTCAAAGCAGCATTAATATATTCCCTGAGCAGAATTCTTATTAGCATTTTCGTTTTCCACCACCTCCCTCTCCCTTCATTCATTGTAGACTACTCGCATGTCACCTTTTTTTCCCCATTATGTGTTTTCATAGTCTGTGATTGTGAAAAGTGTTGAGCGAAATGCCTTAAATATGTATGAAGCAAGGAAATGTCTCCTCGGACTTGAAAGCAGTGGGGTTACCATAGCAACCAGTCTATCCCCAGCATCCTGCCCTGCCGGCCTGGCATGTCCCAGCCTGGATATCTTAGCTTCGGCAGGCCTCGGACTCACTGGACTAGGTATAAAATTTATTGTTGTCACAGGGGGATGCTTATCTGCTTCCCTTTCTTTCTGCCATTTGGGTCTACATCTAAATGCTGTTTTTTCTCTTCTTTCTGCCTGAAGATCAGGTGAAAAGCAACAAACCTCGATTCAATCTATTTTGGGGTTTTTGTTAGGCTCTGTGGATATTGACTACCCAGATTCTTCCTACGTTGGCATAAATAATCAAGGTCTAACTGCTTCATTTTCACTGGCTGTGTTTGCTTTTCTAAATTAAGAATGCTATCGAGATTAAAGTGTGCAGGCAGACTGTAATTTATGTGTTTGTTCTCTCTCGCATTTGCAATGTTGCCATCAGTCCCTAGAGATAAAGATTATCCAGTTTGCTTTTCAAAAAGTAATTGTAAATCTGTATGGGCAGAGGGAGAAGGGGTGAAAGCAAAACAAACCCCACTCCCAGGGGTTAAGCCTGCCAAGCCCAGACACAAAGGAAATGTAGTCTGCAGCCACCAAGGGAAACAAATGGACCTGTGTTTATATCTAAAGCAAGGAAAAACTATGATATTGGTGCTTTCGTGCACTAAGCAAGCAGAGTAAGCCAGGTAATAGTCATGGTGATGTCTATGGATTGCCATCGTACAGGCTGGTGTACCTTTACGGTTGTGCCAGCGTCAGCCTCTTTCTTGTTCTTTTCTTAGTTACCTTTATATAAAAAGCCCATGCAATAAGCAGAGAAAGTCACTTTGTTGATTTGAGGCAGAAAAAGTATTCTTAGCAATCTTAAATTGTTTTCCAGTACATGGTTTTGCTTTTAAAAATGTAACGTGATTATAATATGGTTAAGATTCCAAGTAGCCATGCCTGGACACCATTACAATAACAAAGGATTGCCCCCACCTTGGTCCCTAATCTACCCAAGTTATCCCTTCCACAGGGATCTGAATATAGTCATAGTAACATAGCAATGCCTTTGAACTAGGAAATGCCGATCAGGTAACTTAGCAGGAACCAAGTTTATCCTGCACTAGTAAGAAAATAAAGGAGCAAAGATGCAGACTTACTGAATTTTTAAAAGTTTTTACGGCTGTATCTGTCCTGTAATGCTTAATGTTTTATATGGATTTCTGGAAACATGTATAAAATGTGTATTTTATTTTAGAACATATTTTAAATGCCCAAAGAAGAATTTCATAACTTGACTCAAGCATTAAATGCTTAAAACAAAAGTTTTTTTCTGAAGAAAGTTTTCATCATTGGGCTGAAGCCAAAAGAATTCAGATGTGTGTTGCCGACAGACATACATATGAAAAGTGTTCAGGTAGCTCAGGGGCTGTCCTGAATACAAAGGGCCCTGTATCCATTCTGCCGCAGGAAAATATTCATTCCCTTGTCACTGCTAAGTGTGAGTGGTTTAAAAAAGGCTTGTTTAGAAGCAATGACAAGTGAGTCATGCAGAGAAATAAAAATAAGTCTGTTCTTGAGCAGAATTTTGTTTCTCCTGGCTAGTTAACATGAATACATAGAACCTGGTGATGTGCGGTGACCCTGACTCTTGTCCTGGTTTGGGCACATCTGTCTTCCCTTTCTGATGGCATCTATTTGTGGGAGAGCTGATTCCTGTGTTGATGTTGTATAAAGAAATATTTCATGTGAATATTTGAAAGAAAACATGTCACCCATGTTTTATATTTAGAAAATATCAGATTATATTGATGTGAATTCCAAACGAGAATACTGGAACCATCTCTATTGTGAATTTCTATGTATCAACTTTACTTTGATTTATTACAGGTCTTTTGGGGCCCACCACCTTATCACTAAACACTTCCACAACCCCAAACTCACTCCTGAACGCTCTCAATAGCTCAGCCAGCCCTCTGCAAAGTCCAAGTTCTGGCACCCCGAGCCCCACATTATGGGCACCCCCACTTGCTAGTACTTCAAGTGCCACAGGTCAGTATCATTTAAATATAGGTAAAGTCATGGATTAGAATTCTGTTGTGTGAAGCCCATTAATGCAGTGCGTTCATTATACAGGTAGAATGGGTAGGAGAAAGAGTTTGATGTACAGGGGCCAGTGGCGTGTCACATGAAGGTCACTGACCTGGTAACTAGGAAACTGAAGTTTTGCTTGAACAAGCTCCCTTGGTAGTCCTGTGCACAAGCTAAACCTAACAAGTTTCCTCATCTTACAGTGAGGGGCTTGGATTAAATATTCTCTACAGTGTTTCATGATTTAACACTTGTTGTGCTTCATAGTAATGTTAAACCTATTTGCAGAGAGATCTCAAAATTGAATTTCAAATTTGCACTAATGATGATGTTTTTTATTGTTATTGAAAATAACAGTTATGGTTTCTGAGTTTTTCCACTCTCATATCTATTTTTATGAAATGTTGCCACAGGTTTCTCTGCTATACCACACCTTATGATTCCATCTACTGCCCAGGCCACGCTAACCAATATTTTGTTGTCTGGAGTGCCCACCTATGGGCATACAGCTCCATCTCCTCCTCCTGGCTTGACTCCTGTTGATGTTCATATCAACAGTATGCAGACAGAAGGCAAAAAAATCTCTGCTGCTTTAAATGGATGTGCACAGGTAATGCCCTTCCAAAATGGTGGGGTCTATGTGTTTTGTAAGAGATAAGCCATTTGTGACATACTTCATTCTTCACCTGAAATGAAATTTAAATTATAAAATTATGACTATATCTGTATGTTATGCTTTATTATTTCAGTCTCCAAATATAAAATATGGTGCAATATCCACTTCATCACTTGGAGAAAAAGTGCTGAGTACAAATCATGGTGATCCATCCATCCAGACAACTGGGTCTGAGCAGACTTCTCCAAAGTCAAACTCTGCAGAAGGTCAGGAAATGCAGCTTTCCCTTCATCATCAGTCTGGTTTGTAATTTTGAGAAAGGGAATTGTGGAGACTCTGTGGTGATTTGAGTTGGTTTTGATAACCAGCTGTCAGACATCCTACCTCTACTATGAGGAGAGATGATATCTTGCATGAAATTCTAAAGAGTGTAGTGAAATAAAAACTGAAAAAGCACTGCAGAAATATAATTTTACCAGGACATTAGACGTTCCTATATTAAAGTGGTTGTAATTATGTAATAGAAAAACATCAGCTTACAAATGTTTGCTTATAAATATGTAACTGTGTAACCCCCCACCAAGTAGAGTGTTCTTTTATAACTCTTTATCCCTCACAATCTTTACAAAAACATGAGAATCTTTTCAAGTTGAGTTTTTATGACAGCCTGACTTTGTTGAGGCATCCTCTTTGCAACTGAAAGCCGTTGTCCCTGTGTCAGACTAATAATGTCTGTGTAGAGTTGGGTTCTGAGTTTTCACTATTGCAGATAATTGTCAACTTGAAAGTGATGTTTCAATTTCTCACTTTTTTTCTTCTCCCCCGAAGGTTGTAATGATGCCTTTGTCGAAGTAGGCATGCCCCGAAGTCCTTCCCACTCTGGGAATGCTGGTGACTTGAAACAGATGTTGGGTCCCTCCAAGGTTTCCTGTGCCAAGAGGCAGACAATAGAGCTACTGCAAGGCACAAAAAACTCACACTTACAGTATGTATTTTCATATATTAAGCCCTTGATTCTTTGAAAGAAAGTGTATAGCAGACTGATTTTTTTTTTAAACTCAATAGTTTAAACTTTTTGGCTCAAGTCAAGTTAGAGTTCATCTGTGGCTTTTCCATTTCTCTTCTTAATTGTCTTTTTTAAAACTGTAAGGAATAATATCTGTAAACTTTCATCCTTGCCTATATTCTTTACAGTCTCTGCCCTATTAAAGTTGGGTTTATATCCATGTCCTCTAAACCTTCTGTATTGCTTTGAAACTGTAACTTCCTCTGCTCTTCTGTAATCATTAGAAACAATTTTTACCCTCTATTTTGCCTTTAGAACTTTTTCCACAATGAATTCCTCTTTGTTTGGCTTTGAATTTCTTTCTTAAGCTGTGGCTTCCTTTTCCCAAGGTAGTTAATTGCAAACTTTTAAATAAATACTTGACAGTATAGTGACTTTTATCTGTTACAAATCACATTAAGTATTAATGCATAAATTGTGTTAGATAGAACTCTTTCTTGCCATAGCACAGTTGCCAGTGGGTCATTCTTACTCTTTTTCCTTTTTCCATTTCCTTCCTTCTGTTGTAGGGTGAAATGCTCTGCTCCCACTCCTCCCCACCCAATTGATTTTCTTTACCATCTTACTAGTTCCTTGTATACCCTGACAGAGTCTTTATGAAAAGATTAGCAGAGATTCTTATTTCCTCCTTTTCTTACTAAAAACCATTTTGCTTTATAAACCCTGACCTAAGTTTGTCCAATTCTGCCTTGTCTGTATTTTTCTTTATATAGCATTAATGCCCAAAATGAACCTTCAGTATAGGTTAGAGCAACATTTTTCTTCTTATCTATGGAAGCATTTGAATGACACACCCTTTCCTTTCATAATTGAACATGTTCTGAACTCTCCTCATCTCCCATGCAGATTGAGCTGCAAGCCTCACCATGGTCTTCCTGCCACATTCTGTCATCAACTTGACCTCTTCTTTATTTTGCTGTAGCAATATTTTTTCATATGAATTTGATCTTGTCACATTGTAGCTTAAAGAGCACCAACAATCTGCATTGCCTGCTTCCTTTCCTTTCCTTACACTTCTCCCTCCAAGTTGCTGTTCTCATGGCGTTTGGCACCAGTGAACTTGTGATGCCCCTTAAATCCTAGTTCAAATGTCCTCTGTAAAGCCACTGTCAACTTTTGTCAAGCAGTGTTTATTGTTCTCATTTTGTATTCTAGTAGCCCTTTCTAAATCCATCTGAATTCTCTTGACACAACTGAATAGTTGAATGAATAAAACTGTGAACAAATGAATAAAGCAGTCCTTTTTTTGATATTATAGATTCCTGTTTTATTTGAGCCTTATGGGTGCAGTTGGATTTAAACTTGAGGTGCATGCATCCTCTGCATGTTTCATATACTATAATTCAGGTGTGCTGCTCATTACAAGAAGTACTTTGATGGTCTGCCCATCTTCCTAAACAAGCTTTAGAGAATAGATCTTATTTATGTTCTACTTTTATTTGTTGTTATAATATGTATTTCGCACACATAGATACTATTATTAATTATATCATATGCATTTCACATACATAGATTCTGTCATCTACATGCTTTCAGATCTGCTCAACCTCTGCTTAGACTTTGTATTCATGAGTTGTTGAAACCTGGTTGATGTGTAAAAATTAGAAATCTTGTCTGTACATCTGTTCACTGTGTTTTGTATGTAAGATACCATATATTCTATATATAATATATACAGTATATATCATGAAATAGTTTTAAGCTATAGTCCTAAAGTCTGAATGACTGAGTTCAAATTCTAGCTGTACCATTCAAGTTAGAGAGTGATTATGAACAAGGTATCTCCTCATCTGTCAAATTGGATGGCTGTAGTACCTACATCACACCACTGCTGTGTCAGTGGTGTTGCTGTGAAGACTAAATGAGATGAGACATGTAAACGGTGATGAGGGTAATCATGCTAGTGATGTGCCATCCAGGAAGCACGCAGCACATTTGTATATATGATGGAGTGTTAAATGCCAAACTCTCTTTCACAGCAGCACTGACAGGTTGCTCTCAGACCCTGAGCTGAGTGCTTCAGAAAGCCCCTTGGCTGACAAGAAGGCTCCTGGGAGTGAGCGTGCTGCAGAGAGAGCAGCAGCTGCCCAGCACAACTCTGAGAGGGCCCGCCTTGCTCCAAGGCCACCATATGTCAACATGCAGGTAATGGAAATAAAATAGGAAAGTCATTCAGGTCCAGGTACTCGGATTAGAATTCAGTGAGTGTTTAGCAGTAGTGTAGAAATTAGCCTTTCTGTCTACACTATGTAAAAATGAAATTTAGATATATATGCAGAGGTCAGGAATTGGATTTACTATAAGCACTAAAAATGACATGCAGGATTTAACTTAAGTGAGAATAATTCTTTAAAATATAATATTAAAATGGTGTAAGATGATTTGTGTCACTATGTCTAGTGCAAATAACACTCATCTGTTATTTGAAAAAGTTTTATATAGCCGTGAGAGACTACATTTTTAAGTGTTACTGCCTCATGACATAGACTTGGATGAATAGGTCTAATATTCTCTATGAAATGAAGATGATAAATGTGTGCTGTTTTGAAATGGTTATAAAAATAATTAATGTGAAATTTTATTTCTTTAAAAGTAGATGCAGAAAAAAAAACCAGCAAGAAATTAAAAACTATAATAGAAAGGGAAAACCAATTGCAATAGCAATAAACATGCACTGTTTATGTGAAAAATTTAAAACATTGAGGAACCAATAAAAGAACTTACAAAATGGGGAAAAAAAGTAGATGCAGAATATTATTGATTATGTTGTTAATAAATTTTTATGACTATTCCAAACAGTTTCCTCAGTAGGGCCTTTCTTTATATCCATTTCCAAAGTATTAAGTTAATTACTTAAAATAGATTACTGATCATTAAATTCAGAAATGATTTCCACATAGATGACAATATGAAAGCTGAGGGTTTTGTGCTTTGTGTTTTTAGAGATTCCTATACATTTCAGTATTCAGTACTAGAATTACTGGGTAGACTTAGCTACTTCATAGTAGACTTATCTCGCTCCTTCCCCAGTCTCCAAAAAAAGGGAAAAACTTTTCACAAAATTCTAGAAACATAAAAGCTTTCGTAGACATGGCAAAGAAATTAATTCATGGAGCTAAGTTATATTACTATTATTCCAACACAAATGATAATTTAGTCCTGCTTGTCTGGTTTTTAATCCATTGCATCTGAACATTTTCATTAGGTTTTAGGAAAATAAAATCCACGGCCTTCAAAATGTGTCAGTGATTTTTTAAAAAAGTCATTTACTGTATTTTCTCTGGGGATTTATTTTTAGTTAATATGAATTAAAATTCTCCCATTTAAGAAATACCAAGTTCCCTTGTAATTTTTTTCACTTTGTAGTTCTTGTTTTCTTTTTTATCAGGTTTATGTGTTTCATGAACCAATTTCATTTTTCTTTCTTTTAGGATAGATGAGAATTTTTTTTTTTGTGGGACTCGGGTTGAGAATGTTCTTGATGGTATTGTTTGAACTTAAATAGAATAGATATATGTATGCCACTAGTGAAATCTGACTCCTAAAATTACTAAGAAATGAATGAGAATAGTCACTGAGCATTGACAGGACAAAAATTGACGATTTCTCTAATTTCTGTGACTGAAAATTTATCTGTCTTCTGATTGCTCTTGGAGTGCTGTATCTCTAGCCACCTTTTCATACGTACTTCACTTTGTAGTTATTTCTCTTACTCAGCCTCCTAACACTAAGTCTTTGAGGCTACAGATTATTTTTGATCCATTTCTGTGTTCTTCCATAAAGCACAGTTTCTTTAACCATTGGCACTGAACAAGTAAATGTTGGTTTTCCCCATACCTTCCCCTTGAGGATTAATTATTAAAAGTTGATTTTTAACTTTTAGACCTGGGATTTTTAAAAAAACCCTCATCAAACAGTGTTATCTAAAAATCTGGTTCTCCTGATTTACTGCCGTGTTTTTAGAGTTATCATGTTATGGCTTGTCTGGGACAGCTTCTGTTTACTTTGATCGTGCTAGCCTAATTTTTATCTGCAGCACATTTCACTCTGAAGTGTTCTGTTTCTGACCATAAATTATATGTGGACTTTATATACGATGTTTAGTCTTTTGGGGAGAAGTCAAAGAACTCTTGCCAGTTGTTTCTTGACCTTCCTGGTCAGCCTTTGAGACACTCTTAAATCAAGACTTAGCTAATTCTTAAGTAGGGGAATTGAGAACGTGGGGTTAGTATTTGAGATGTAGCTATACCTGTACTTGTTTTTCAGAAAGACATCTCTTGGTCCCCACATAGATGTGACTGCATCATAATTACTCATTCAGTGTTAGCGGAATTGAGTGTGGCGCCATCCTAGTCCTGTGAAATAAAAAGTAACTAGATTTAATTCTGTTGAATTTGTTAATGTCATTATAGATTAAAGCTACACAGTTTCCATCTATCTCATTTCAAAAGCAAAGACTATGCCAATTAAGCTAATAACTTCTTAAGTTGTCTCAACATTATACTATTCAGGCATGCTTTCCTAAATGGGGATTTTGAGGCAGAGAAGAAGATAAAATAGATACCTTGTGATGTATTATTTTGAAACTTATCATAACTTCTTTTAGGTTATTTATTACATCGTACCATGCAGTGATCCTGACGTAGTAGATATTCTTAATAAACAGGAATTTGTTTTTCTTTTTCATGGAAAAATTCCTTTTTCACTCCATGTCTTTAAGTCAGAAGTAGTAATTTATTATTCTAACTAATTAGTTTTGAAAGCATGATTAGATTTATTATGCTTGCATTGTATTTCTGTCATGTCATGGTGCAGAGCTTAGCATATGTCTCAGGCAGATTCATGGGACAGAGTCAAACCCTTTGGTCTCTAACAGTGGAATACTGGCATGATAGTTGTAGAGATTGGTAACAAAGACATTCTCTCTGATTTTCAGGCATTTGACTATGAACAAAAGAAGCTATTGGCAACCAAAGGTAACTGACTCACGAACGATTTATACTTTTTCAGTATACTCATAAGCAGTTTTGTGTATTCATGGTGAATTGAAAAATTGGATACCCATAAAAAGAAACCCAAAATGTTTGGATTCAAATTGTGCAAATTCTATTGAGGTTTAATATATTTTTTTAAAAGATTAGCATCAGATCAATTAAGAAATTATGTAGCATTTCATGTGCCAGTTCTTCGATGGAATGTTTTATTATATATTTAGACATTTTATAATGATAACATTTAGTTATAATTTCCTCACAAATATCAAAGAAACCATACTCATCATTAATATTTTATTCTTAAGTGTACAATGCATTTGTATTCTATTCTGTTTTCCAAAGCTATGTTAAAGAAACCAGTGGTGACCGAGGTCAGAACACCTACAAATACATGGAGTGGCCTGGGATTTTCGAAATCCATGCCAGCTGAAACAATCAAGGAGCTGAGAAGGGCCAATCATGTGTCCTATAAACCCACAATGACAACCACTTATGAGGTTTGTGACATGCTCTTCCCATTCTTCCTGTCTGTTCTTTCAACAAGAGTATATCAGTCTCCTTCCTCACCTCCACTTCTTTATAGATATAAGGAAAATGATTAATGGTGGCTTGTTTCTATTTCTGTTCTTGTAAACATGTTGTTATAAAATTGGTGCTATCTTATAGTTGTTGATCAGTTCTTAAGGAAATATAAATTTAGATAATTCTGTTTTTGTTGGGGGAGAGGCACCATAAATGCCAGAGTAGAGCTAAAATTAAGCAAAGGGCAGATGTAATATTTCATTAAAATGTATAAAGAGTCTTTTGTCCAAGGGTATCACTAGCAAAGCTACCATAGTGGGAAAAGGCAAATATTCAACAAAAACAGGTTTTCAGATATGAGTTAAAAATTCACTTTGTTCAGATGTGCCAAGAACACAGCAGGAAGTATCTCAAACAAGAGTTCCAAAACTTTTATGTTTCCCAGATGTTGGCTACCCAGCTTAGGGTGAAACCAGGAAGTTGGCATTCCTAGCATGCAGAGGAGAGGTCCAGAGTTCTATACTCCTCAGCCAGACTCCACGTGACTCACTGAACAGGCCTGTTCCATATAAGAGTGTCAGATTTTGGCCATAAGCCTTTGGGAGTGGGGGGTGAGGCTAGCGAGAGAGCCTGTACACAATACCGAGAGATTGCAGACCCAAATGTGGACACAGATAATTAATTCAAGAATCACAGTTTTCAACCAGAGCACTGTAGGCTAAAACACAAGAGCCGGTGAAGGGTTTCACGATTGTTAGTCTAATAACCAGCTTTTATATACTCACCTTCTTTTCTCCACCCATTTTCTTTGTGATAAATTAGACTGTTGATGAAAGGCAAAAGCAAACATGCTGGGTTTTTTTGTTTTTTTCTTTCTCTCTTTGAGCAAGTGAAAAGGAAAACACTATTGAAAGAATAGTCCCCTATGAATTCCATTGTCAGAGTTGCAGTAGCCACCGGCAGGCTGCATTTAAGAATGGAGTGACCTTCAGCAGCCAGAGTGTAGGAACTATTATGAAAAATACCAAGGTGGTTGGAGGTACGCGCTCCTTCTGCCATTAGAGCTTGAAGAGAAAATAAGCATCTGCTTTTGTTAGCATAATCTGAGACTTTTAACCGATGTACCCTGCAGTCCTCTACTTCACTAACTCTTGATTTTGACGCAGTAAAGTGTTAGTTGTTGGTTGTGTTTCTGTAGTTTCAGAGATGAATTCTTTCACTTCAGACATACTCACTTAGTTCTACTCTTTAAAGCCAAGAGTATGAGAAGTTGAGAATGAGGATCATTTTAGTATCCTAGTGGTCAAGTTCAGGGGCTCTGAGGTCTGATATCCCCCACTGATCACTTGTGTAGCTTCTGTGAGGCTTCACTCTCTGAACCTGTGTTTTTACTCTAGGTGTACTGAGGAGGATATCAGCAAGTGCATGCAGTGCTTAGCGTGGTGCACACTAAGTTCTCAGCAATATTGAGAAGCTACTATGACTTCCCTTGGAGGGAAATCCAAAGAAAACCAAGAGTCTGATGAAAGATAAGATTACATAGATGAATGTTTATTGCTGGGAGCAGTTCTGCACATTTAAGCTATTTATGCTTCTTGTAACCAACTGTATTAGTAATAATTGTGTTAAATCACATTCAGTTCTTTGTGATTTATAATGGGCGTTTTCATCTATAAGTTTATTCAGTTCCCACATTTCCAGTGGAGGAAGAGAGGCCCAGAATGGATAAGTGTCTTCCTCAAGGTCATGGTCAGTAAATGTCAGAAGAAGGACTTGAGTTCATTACAAAATTTCCTTAAACTGTCTTCCTAATGATTTAACTGGAGGGATGCATAAGCAAAGTTGATATGTAACCAACGTAGAGCCATGTGGTCATGCTTGTACTAACATGACAATCACTTAGAGAGCTTGACAGAAATGCAGGTTCTTCCTCCAGGATCTCATTCAGCAGGTAGGGAATGAGTGAGAACCTTGGATGATTCTGATGCAGGTGGCCCTCAGGAAACACTGCTGCTGTAAAGGGAAGTAGCACTAACAGGTGGTGACAAAAATGTGCACAGGAACCCCACTCTTCTGCTCCTGCTCTTGTTGAAGGTCAGGTAGACCATTTCCTGTAACCAGGAATGTACAAGGACTCGGTCACATTGGCTGAACCCCTGCTGTGGCTGTCTTGGGCTAGCCTGATTCTCCATACTGGCTGGTGTCTTATCAGCCCATTCCCACCAAAAGGTAGAAGACGAGGGCAGGTGTGACTGCTAGACTAGAGCACAGGCACATACCATGAAATCTGCTTTTTTTCCCTGCCTTTTTCAGTGCTGTTAAAGGAAAGATATTATATAGCTTTCTTTGGATGGGTAGTCTAGATTCTCCTTGGGACTGACTATTCCTCATGCATCCCAAATACGTTGAAATGCAGAGAAAGGGCCCCTCACATAGCATTATCTTAGTTTCTGCAGCATTTGCCATCTGCATTTGCTTGCCTTTCCCTTTTCTCTGCAAAGACTCAGAAGAATTAAAAATAGGGTAGCAAGGATTGCTTCTATGGATAAGAACGTGTGGAAGTACCTGAGAAACAGTAGAGAGACTAATTTTTATTAAAAATTATATCTAATATTAGATTACTAACATTTTTCAATTACAGGGTACCTAGAAACCCCTCACCCTCCTTTTCCTTACAATTTTTCCTCAAAGAAAAGTAAAACCAAGTGAACAAGTAGGATGCAGATTTATAAGAAGCAATATGTTTGGTCAATAGATCCTGATGGGTGAGGCTACTCTCTGAGTTAGGGTACAGGGGTTTCCTCCTGCAGGAAGTTTACTTGTGACAAAAAACTTGATACTTTGATCTCTGTATTCAGTATTATTGAGAAGCTAGACTTGAACTATACTTTTCCAGTTTAGGAGCAACTATAAGAAATTAGTTGATTCCAAAAAGCTCCTTTAGATAAAAGACACTTCCAAGATTTTTTGTTTTCTCTAAGGCTGAAAAATGTGAGCCTATCCACTTGGTGTTATATTGGGACATCAAAAGTAAAAAACAAAAAATTCTTTTTTGAACTGAAATATGTGTATAATCAGCAGAAATACAAAGAAAAGGATTTTCCCTTTTCTTTTTGCCACCCATCTCTTAAAAGCATAACTAAGGTTCACATTTTCTTGAAGCAAATAAAACTTGCATTGGGAATCAAAGATGGTTTTCAACTTCCCCAATATTAAGTAATGAAGGTATCTGATTACTTTAAATCTTACAAATCTAAGGTATCTGTTGATATTTTAGATTGATTAGTAAATAAATAGTAGATATCACAAGATAATGCTTTACTTAGTTTCCAGAAATCACGATGTGTAGCCAGGCCTGATAATAGCTGTGTGACTTACAGTAGCTAGGACTTAAATGAATGGCTGTATATACTCAAAAAGAGTTTAAATGCAGATTTTTGTAATATGTAAGTAATGCATAACAACTCAAGTAATGTTTCTGGTAGATACCAGTTTTGAGCATGTTCTTATTTCTCTTGCTGCATTGGATTTATCTGGGTTGAGGTATAATATTAAAGACATCTTCATTAGAAAATCTATTTTTTGGTTCCATGAGCCTTAATTTCACTACATCCCTTTGCATAAATCAGCAGAGGCATCCTATAGATGTAGAAAAAGGAGCATTTGAGAGTCATTCAGTAATTACACAAATATTAATTACCTGTGTTCCAGGCACAGTCCTATGATACAGAGACACAGTGCTTAAATACAAAGTTCATCCTTTCAGGAACAGAGTTTTCTTTCTGATAGGTAGGAAAAAACACAGAACAATAAGAAGGCATTAGGTGATAAAAGTCCATGAGGAATATGAAACAGGCTACTTGAGCAGGTGACATTCAAGCTATGAAACCTAGATGACAAAAAAAAACCAACCTTGTTCTTAGGATCTTAGTATTAAGTCAAGGGAATCACCAGCATGATCCATCCTAAAATCAGAACTGGCAAGTTCTTATAGGAGAAGGAAGCTAGGGTAGTAGAGCGTTAGAGATGAGGCTGGGGAGAGCCCAATTCTGGAACACCTCAGACTTGCAATATACAATGAAAAATGTGGAGAAATTATGATGCTTAATTTTGGAGCTCCCCAACTCATGGTAAAGTACAATGGAAGCACAATATAAGACTTTACAAAGAGGCATGATTTGTTATAATTTGTATTTTTAAAATGTCTCCTTGTTTTATGTACTACAGATTATCCCTATAATATAAAGGCAGCAAGAATAGCATCAGCATGGCTGTTATGGAAGCAGCTGGTAGAAATGGAAAGAAGTGGGCAGATTTGGGGTATATTCAGAGATTTTCAGAACTCTCTGATGGACTGCATGTATTGATGGACAGAATAGTCAGGAATGACAATTTGAATTTGGGACTGGAGCACCCAGGTGAGTGGTAGAGTCCCTTGCTAGGATATAAGAGTTCTAAGCACAGTAGGTTTGGGAGTAGCTGGTGTGAGGGAGGCAAGTAATCAACAACTCATTTTCAAGATGAAAAGTTTAAAATGCTTATGAGACACTATAATGGAGGTGTCAGATTGGCAGTTCTATGGTTCTGAATTTCAACAGAGAAGTCAAATCTAAAGATAGAAACTTGGGACTCACTGCCCTCATCAAACTTTGAAAGAGGTTTCATCTCAGTGGGGTGATGAAAATAAGGGTTCTAGGACTGAGCTCCAGGGTAATGTGACAGTTATAATGGAAAAAAGAAGATCCTGTAGAGGATACAGTAAAGTACATAAATCAACGTATCCTCAGCACAACAACTGAAAAAAAAAATAGCTAGAAACCCTAGGACTGGGGTTTGATGCCAGGGATGGAAATATTTAAAGGAAACCATAGTCAACTATGGTTGTACTGCTACAGGATTGAGTTAAGTATGTTTATTGATACAAACAATAAAGGATTCTCTTGGAATTTCCCAAAGAACATAAATCTTTGAAAATCAGAGAATCTTGACATTCTAGTATAAAATAGTGTTCTTGTAATACTGTGACTAAATGATTAAAGGAAGGAATAAATGTAGATTTAGTGCCAAATTTGAGATGTATTAAATTACTGTTTTCATTTTTTTTGGAGAATTTTATTTTTTCAACAAACATATTTTATTGATCTTAAATATTATCAGTGCTTGGTAATAAAAGAAATATTATTGCTGAGCCAGTAATATTGCTAGAGTCAAGCAGATGAATGGCTTCTCCCAGTACTGTCAAGGTTCTGACTTCATATTATTTATTCAATAAGATATCTTGTTGGTGTTTATGTTTGGAGAATTTTAAAAGGCAAATTATTCCAGGGTATTTGTAATTTGTTGTGGAGATTATGTACTTGTTTGGGGACTGGTAACATAAAGGAGATGAGAGAGCTGCCTGTAACCTTTGGCTGTTAGGCTCGGAGCTTGATTTGTCTCAAAGTGTCTGATGTACTTGCACCTCATTCCATTTCTACTTCTTGTGTAAGTCAAGATGAAGAATCTCTGCTATGCCAGGTAGAATATTTGCTTTGTGGTTCCTAAAAACAGAGATGAGTCTCAGCCACCACTTTTCTTATGGGAAGGATTCTTTATACTGGGAATTCCCAGAGTTCTGCTAGGTACCTCATGATAAGCTCTACGTAAGGATGAGAAAAGACTTCACATATATTTTCATGTGTCTTTGGTTTCCAGAGGACAAAAGCTATAGAAAGATAAGACAGCCTCTTCCTGAGAATCAATATACAGTGATTACAAATAAAAGTAAAGAGTGATGGTAAAATTTGGATTTGTTTCTCCCACCCTGAGAAACCACCTTTATTAACCATTTCTTTATTTGGTTTGATGGTTACAGGGCTCATCAATGTCCCTTTCACGGTCCAACAGTCGTGAGCACTTGGGAAGTGGAAGTGAATCTGACAACTGGAGAGACCGAAATGGAATAGGACCCACAAGTCATAGTGAATTTGCAGCCTCTCTTGGCAGCCCCAAGCGCAAACAAAACAAATCAAGTGAGTTTTGATGTTTATTGATAGTTTTAAGCATAATAAGCTTAGAATGTGTTTATTTGACTTAAGATACTACTAAAGTGTAATTCTGGTTCCTGAGACTTCAAGTGCTTGGTGAAATTCATGTGCCACCTCCTCCATGAAGCTTTTCCTGTTTGTCCCGGTAGACCAGGTCACTTAGTTCTCACCTTTCATTGCATTTTGTACGTGTCTATCTAGCATTTGTTACCCTGAAATGTAATTACTAATTTACATATCTGTCTTTCCCTATAAAATTTGAGCTCCTCAATTCAGGGTCCATATTTATTCAGTAAACATTTATTAAGCGCCCATGTGCCAGGCTTTTTGTTAGTCTGTGCCTTATTTGTTATCTCCCAAGTGCCTTACCAAGTGTCTGATACTCAGCAGGTAGGTGAATGTTTACGGAGTGAATGAACTATACATGCATAGACATCAGATGGTGGGAAAAAAACAGGGGCATAAGAAGGCACTTAAGAAAAATATTACCAAGTTAGCATCTTAGACAATTGTAAAGAGACTTCCCAGTGGTAGCTACTAAAAGTAAAGAACGGGATTTTATTTTATTTTTTTAACTTAACAAGGTATAGCTCAATTAGCATGAATAAGAAAAAAAAATCCTTAAAGCGTGAAAAACTATGACTGAGACTCAGCATGAATCTGAGTTTTTGGGTATCACAGTGCCCACATTTCTGGTCCATATGAGGTAAGCAGACAAGAATTGACATTGTCATTAGATATGATTCTAATGCATTTTTTTCAGGATTCTTGAAAAATAGGGAACTCTGACACGTGGCTTGGAGTATTTTAGAGTATTTGCAGAAAGACAATCTAGATAAGCACAGAAGACACTGTAACAGCCGGTTGAATGATGATAATCATTCAAGTCAGCTATATTGTTAGGAACTTTACACTTGAAAAGACCACTCATAGTATGGGTCAAGTCTAAATAAGAAGGAATGGTTAACTCTTCCATTCCCAAGTATACTGTCAACAATGATCTGGGAACTTCCCATTAGTCACTGGCTGGCTTCTCCAGCCCGACAGTGTGATGGAGCCGGAGCCAAGAGGCAGGCTGGTTGCAGGAACAGGTCTTGGGATATAAATGATGTTTGGTGTAAAGCACAAAATGAGTTAGTTTTGTGCTTCTCTTTTTTATCTTTATTTCCTTTCCCTTCATTTAACATTTTATAATTACAATTGACTGTACTATGTAGTTGAAGTTTTGGGTTAAGACAAGAGATTCATTAATAAAAAGGAATGACATAAAAAACTGTTATTTGCCTCTCATCAGATGTCTTAGGAATGTAGGAGTTTAAAAGAGGATATATAAACTGTCAGTAGTTAAGAGAAAAAGAAATGTAAAGAAAGTTATTGGCCATTATAAACATTATCATTAAGAATATTTTATTTTCAAATATCTGTTCTTTAAATGCTTACTAATACTTTTAATTAGCCCAATATATGCAAAATATTTAATGAGGTACTTCACATTATTTTGTATAAAGACTTCAAAATCTGCAGTATATTTTATGCTGATAGAACATTTTAGTTCCCTCTAGCTTCATTTCAGGTGTTCAATTCAATTTCAGGTAGCCAGTGGCTACTGTATTAAACAGTATAGCTTTACATAATTTTTCTTAATACACTTGTCAGTGTCTAAAGCTTCCATTTTCCCTGGCCATCCCTTTTTATACCAGCAGCTCATTTTTTACTCTCTCCCAAAAGTAAGTTTATTATTTGTACAATAAGTTATATGGTCATCCTGCCAGTGACTTCATGTTCTCAAGTCCTGGTTGCTCTGATGTGCTCATTGTGGTCTGTTCTGTGTCATCTTTGACTGAGTACCTCATTGGTCATTCCTTCTCAATCATTTTTGATTATTTGGGGGACTCTCCTTCACCTTCAAATGGTAAAGTGTCTTGGGACAGTATTTTAGCATTTGTTCTGGGCCCTTTTCCCTTAACATTTCTCTACAAGAGATAAAACATCTGTTTTTAAGAAAAAAAAAAGAAACCTTATCAAGAAATTCCTTCCATTTGAGGTATGTAAAGGACTTCTCAGTTGGGAGGTGAAAACAACTAAAGAAAATGATTAATGGAATCATAACAGCACAGAACAAGATTCTCAGATTTGGCAGGGCCTGATCCCTAGAGCAGCTTAGATGGATCTGATTGGTTTAGGTGAATGTCTTCTTCTTCCTTTCCCTCCAGGAATCCCTCCTAAAGCTGTATCCTGGGTATAAAAGGTCAGATTTCTGACACAGGCAAGAGCCAATTATTGATCAGGGAGATAGGAATGGCCACAGAGCTCCACTAGAAACTCTAAAGCAGAGAGAGAGAGAGAGAGAGTGTGTGAATGTATTTGGTGAGGTAGTTGGCATGGTTCGTTGGTCCTTCACCCAGCCGTGTTTGTTACTTGGTCTGAGAACCACAGCATGTTGAAACCCTTGCCCACCAAATCAGTTGCAGAGCCAAGGCAAACCTCTGTATTACTGTTAGAATTTTTCCCAAGAGACAGATTAATTTCTGACATAAATTAAATGCAGGAACTTCAGCAGCATTCTTATCACTTCATACATTATGCCTCATTTTAGAAACACTCTACTTGGTGAGCTTGCTGCCCAGTTGTATTTTCCTAGGGAATGAGATTTATATGTTGTGATATCCTACAATTCCTTTGACAGAAGGAAAGTACAAGTGTGAATACAGAGAGTCATCTTGCCATCCAAAAGGAGCCTAGATCTGTAATAACTTTCCATACCTTTATTATGTCCCAGGGATCCTCCCTCAGATTCCTCATTTAATTCACATCAAGCCAATTATAAAGAGCAAATGTTTCTGAATGCTAAGGGAGAATATGATGAATGATTACTATAACTACAGAGGCACTATGGCTGAATTTCTGCCTCCCAAGAGTAATTTTTAAATGGCAGGGGCCTCCCTGAAAGCAAAAACCAGCATTTCCTTAATGAAAAGCCAGTATTTCAGTAAAGGATTGCTGTATTTCTGCAGCTACTGCTCTCTTCAGCTGAACAATGAAATCTGAAGTATTTGATGATTAGAACTTTTAATTAAACCATGTTCTCTGTGGACATTTACACTTCAGGCCTGTCTCTCCTTGCCTTTCAGCGGAGCACTATCTCAGCAGCAGCAATTACATGGACTGCATTTCCTCACTGACAGGAAGCAATGGCTGTAACCTGAACAGCTCTTTCAAAGGCTCTGACCTCCCTGAACTTTTCAGCAAACTGGGCCTGGGTAAATACACAGATGTCTTCCAGCAACAAGAGGTCAGTCATTATGTATTTTCCTGGGTAGCTTTGTGCATGGTGACCTCTAGAAGGAAATCACTCATTGACCTATGACTGTACTTTCACTAAGCATTTATTCAATTCTCAAAGCTTGTTCTTGCTGCTAAGAAAAATGTCATCTCATTTCTTATTTGTTTGGTACAGCTAGTAAACACAGGAAAGCGGAAATAGAGAAAATTGTTTGCAAAAATGCACCAGAGCCATCATCTTTCACCAGTTTTAGCTGAAAGGCCTAGCTGGTATATTGAGTCACGTGAACTTGTGGATTTACAGTTCTCCCAATGTCAGTGTCAAGTCTGGAGATAGCAAGATTTCATTCTTGCGTCCATTGTTACTATCTTTGTGGCACTTAGAAGTAAATAGTAATAGTCGAAATAAATATCTGTGCCTGTGTTTGGCCCATCCTAGTTACACTACTAAAGTCCATTCTCACAGAATATAATCTTTTAACAGATTCATTCATATATTTATGTTTCGGTTTTGCTGAACTGAAACAGCATTGAGATGTCTTCTGAACCATCACTACCATGGATTTTCATCCAGCGGATTAGCCATGGCCTGTTACATATTGGCAAGCAGAAAAAAAACCCTGAGCAGAATTCCTTCCAATAGTACTATCACCTAACTAGCACACAGCTACCCTAACTCATCAGAACAGTTCTGTAAATTAATCTTTTTTAAATCAATACATAATTCAAGTTTGGTGCTGGTTGGCTTAATTTCGTGTTGGAAATTAAATCAGTAATTCTCAGGCATGTATCAGCCAACAACAAATCCAAGGTTTTTACTAGGTAGTTCATGCCCACAGCTTAATAATAATTAAGTTTAATTACTGAACAGTTTTGCTTGTTACACTGAAAAAGATACTGCCATGTGTATATTGGATTTCAGGGAACTGATTTTGTTTTCTTTCTTCCAAATCTAAATTAGGGTTTGTTTAACCAAGGATGTTCTAAGTTGGATAGCCATTTCATCCTAAACTATTTAAGCACTGTTTCCATCCATTGAATCTTGCTGGTTAGAGGATTACAGTTGACTGGGAAGCATAAGAACAAAGGTAGTGTCACTTGCCAGACATAAAAGGGATTTGAGTTTGTTGTTATCTAGATTTCCTATTTGAAGAAGCATAGAAATAAATTTCTTGTAGGTGCTTTTTACCCAATTACCCAAGAAGAAAAAAAAAACATAGGTATACAGCCAGAGTGGCTTTGCTTAATAGTTTATTAGCTAGGACATGGTCAGTAAATTGTAGCTTGCAGCCTTGCTTCCACATATTGTCAGGAGAGCTTTACTGGGAAACAGCCACTCCCACTTGTTTCTGGATTTTCTGTGGCTGCTCTCAGGTACAACAGCAGAGGGGAGTAGTTGCAACAGTGACAGTATAGCCCTTGAAGCGTAAGACTTTTAGAGGAAAGCTTAAGGTCTTGAGCTATAAAATAGAATTTTAAAAACATATCTTTAGAATTGTGATACATGACCTTAAGATTTTGTAAGATCTAGATGTACCCTCAAAATCAAAACAAGAACTTTGAATGTGTTCAGTATAGTTTCATGGAAATTATGTTTTACTTCTTTATGGTGTATTGAAATTTGGTAATCTGCTTCTTTTATGAGAGATATTTTCTAATATTCAGGTATAACTTAATAAGAATTTCCCACTAATTAACCTCACGATACTGAATTTATTATAAACATGTTAAAGATTCAATTTAGTAACTTTCACAGATAATAAATCGTTGTCTGTTATAAATGGCCACAGGTGCCAATTATTTAATCCTGTGGTAAGCCCACTGATTTATATTTAGTTATATTTTTTGTAGTAATAGCCCTGCATGTTACTATATTGTCAGTCCTAAGTACCCACAAGTAGCAATGACAGAGTAGGTTTTGAACTCAGCTTTCTCTGACTTTGAAGTCTGTTGCCTTTCAAGTACTCACACTGTCTTAAAAGGACAAGTTAGGTCCTTGGGCCATTTCCTACATATTTTTATTGCTGATGTCCCTGCAAGTACTTTTATTTTTCTGTTATTTTTAGAGATACTCTGGCTTTTTTTTTTTTTCATTTTTCTTTTATTATTCATATGTGCATACAAGGCTTGGTTCATTTCTCCCCCCTGCCCCCACCCCCTCCCTTAC